ACAATTCCTTTCAAATCCATGTGATAAATCGTTTTTCTTTATGCCTACAAACTGTGTTGAAATTTGGAATGTTGTCAATAAGCCAGTTTCGTAATGTAACCAAATTTAATGCATACGTCTTTGTGAAGTGCCTCAATACAAATTATTTCATTCACCTGATAAGAATAATAGTATTTCAATAGTCAGAATGCAACTGCATATATTAAGTTGTTGCCAGGTTGGACAAACATTATGGCTTGACCTACCTAGCAACACTTAATATATGCAGTTGCATTCTGACTATTGAAATACTATTATTCTTATCAGGTGAATGAAATAATTTGTATTGAGGCACTTCACAAAGACGTATGCATTAAATTTGGTTACATTACGAAACTGGCTTATTCATTGAAAATTAGTTATTCTTGTAGTCATGATGAGATGAGTGCGCACTTTTTAAAACAAATAGCAGGAAGTATTGTAACGCCTCTAGTACACATTTGTAATTTATCACTTACAACGGGAGTATTTCCGGACTCACTGAAAATAGCAAAAGTATTTCCAATATACAAAAAAGACGACTCTTCTCTAGTTTCAAATTACCGACCTGTTTCTATCTTACCAAGTATTTCTAAAGTTTTAGAAAGACTGACTTATAATAGACTGTATGATTTTCTAACAAAAAATGAACTGTTGTATGAAAATCAATATGGTTTTAGAAATTTCATTCAACGGAGTTAGCTTTGTTACAATTATTTGAGTGTCAAATGCCTTAGCTGATCATAAGCATGTTATTGGAGTATTCGTGGATCTGAGCAAGGCATTTGACACTCTTGACCATACGATACTTATACGTAAATTGGAATACTATGGATTGAGGGGTGTTGCTATACAATGGTTTAAAAATTATGTAACAAATAGAAAACAATATGTATGTTATATGATTCAAATGAATCAGAATTAGTATCTATAACGTGTGGAGTGCCACAAGGGTCAATCCTCGGCCCTTTGTTATTTCTGATATATGTAAATGATATTCATAATTCATCAAATGCACTACAGTATATTTTATTCGCTGATGACACCAATGCATTTTGTTTCAATTCGGATTTTCAGATCCTTTTAAGAAATATTAACGCTGAATTACCAAAGTTATCAAAATGGTTTAGAAGTAATAAACTGTCTCTTAATTTAAGAAAACAAACTATATATATACTTTCAGAACAGAAAAAATAACGATATTCCTGACATTGAAATTACTTTGGATGGTGAATTATTGGAAAAAAGGATAGCACAAAATTCCTTGGTGTTTTGATCAATGAAAATCTAAAATGGAATAATCATGTGCAATATATTTCTAATACTACTTCACGTAATATGTAATATTGGTATTCTCTGTAAATTGAAATATTATGTTCCTTCAAATATCTTGTTTATGTTATATAATTCATTGATACTGCCTTATATTTCATATTGTAACATTATATGGGCAAATTCGAAAAGCAACGTTGACGCCATTTTACTGTTACAAAAGAAAGCCATGCGTATATGTACTGATTCTTCCTATCGTGACCACACCAATCCCTTGTTTTCAAAACTAAAAACTCTAAAAGCTGATATATAAATTTTCTACAAATAACACTTTTCATGTTTCGCTTACAAAATGGTCTACTACCTTCATACTCCCCCCCCCCCACTGTTTAATTTGAATAAAACCATCCACTCTTACCCCACAAGACAAACTGAAAAATTCCATTTAAGAAATCCAAAAACCGCATTGGCTCTCAAATCCATTAGACACGCCGGCCCAGACATCCGGAACTCTCTGCCCATTGTAATAAGAAACCTTAGGACATTGTATTCTTTTAAGAAGGCAGTTAAAACTATGTTATTGTCTAAGTATTGATCATGTTCGTGTGCATCGTTTTTCCATTCATGAATGAACCTGCATTCAATCAGCAGATGTATGAGATGTATTGTATTATTACCAACGCTCCTTCTCTCCCCTTTCCTTTTCTTCTCTGCAAGTCACTCTTTTTCATTTTTATTTGTATTGTTGTATCTAAGTTGAGGATTGCCGGCACGTCAAACTACTTTGCTTATTTCTGTAGCCCTCCTGCATCTAATGTATGTTAATTATGCATTCAATATATTTGTTTAAATTCAATATATTTGTTTAAATTCAATATATTTGTTTAAATTCAATATATTTGTTTAAATTCAATATATTTGTTTAATATCGTTTATTATCTGTATAAAATTATATACACTTGAAATTTTGTATCAAGCCATGTTATGTTCATGAAAATGTATGATGAAAACAAAAGAAAAAAGATGCAGAAACCAATAAATCAAATCAAATCAAATCAAATCAAATAATAGACTTAACTCCGTTTCGTTGACAATCAGCCATCCATGCATGAAGTCTTTCGTCTATTGCTGATCGTCAACGAAACGAAGTTAAAGTAGATATTCATTGGTTTTAAAATCTAACTTTATTTTCATAATTGCAAAGTTGAAACTTTAATTCTACTAGGTTATCAAAATTCAATGCTTGGAAACATCCGAAGGAATGATTATTATAAATTACAAAACGCTTAAATACAGCCCCGGCATAGCACCTGAAGAGCTCTCCGAACGCTGCTGAGATGTGTGAGATCACAGTATGGACATGACTTGCACAAGCAGACGATGTCTCATGACATCTCACACATTTTCAGTTCCTGTGTTTTCATCTTCTCTCGAGTTCTTTCTCTTACTTCACTAAATGTATAATCTATTACCTCACTCTAATCCCCGCGCATGGGTTTATTTTGATGACAAATGCAGCGATACAAATATAAAGGAATCTGTCGCCTGTAAACGAAATAAGACGCCATTGTATATTCAGCTGCACACACCGGGGTATGTTCGGCGTTTCAAGAGGGAACACATGCCGTCTTTAATATCATTCCGGGGGTTTTCAATTTGAAAGTCTGGTTTCTTTGATTGTTAATTAACCCCTATCCTGTGTATTTACAAGCAAAAGATTTTAGTTATCAGAATCGGGTCATATCCCCCTTTGAATGGTTTGACATGCCATTACAGTTATATACACTAAACTCATTATAATTTGTGAAATAATAGCTTTGCAAATATGTTCATTCTCTATGGGATGTCGTCTGCTTGGGCAGTGTTGGTCCATATAGTGACGTCATTAAAACATCGTTATTTTTCCGGCGAATCTCTCGTATATCCCAGCTGCTATGGAGGTGGTTGTATTTGTATTTTTATAAATCACCCTATATGAAGTTGACCTAAAACTTGTACGATGGCCATCTGTTAGCTTACCAGTTTCTAGTGATACATTAGTTGACTTATTTGTGATCTTCTTTGAATTTCACCTTTAAGTCATTTGTCAATTATGTTTGTTGCTACGACAGGCAGGCAGTGAAAACGAATTCGTTTAATGAAATTATGGAAATGCAAGCCTTACTTTAAACAAACAGAACTTTTTTTTATTCCTAACTCATTTTTCCTGATTGAGGTATCATATGAAAGGGCAGAAACTCAACTTTCTAGAAATGTGATTTTCTCCTCGAAATTCAGATACCGTCCGCCAAATGACTTTTTGGTACCCTTTCTTCAAATTGATTTTAATCACTCATGCATCATAATAAGAGTTGCATTAACTGAAAGAGGAGGGTCTAAGCTTTACCAATATGTGTCATTTATTAATTATAATCGTGATTAAGTTATGGTAAAACACCGATAATTCTCGGTTTCGTCTTTTCTAGGAGCACTGTATAGGAGAGGATGATCAGCAAAACAAACTGACAAATAGAAAGCTACAAAATAATACTGTACTCACTCTCTCTGACATGAATAATTTTTGGTTGCTTCTGTTTAGATATCAGCATATGTCTCACCAGAAATGAAGGATACAGTTACTTTGATCGAGTTTTAACAGCTGGAGTCCCAACTGGTAACTAATTATTCCAAACAGCTGCCGTTTCTAAGGTTGCACAAAAGAATCTACAAATGTGCTCTTATCTTTGATGTCCGAGGTTTGAAGCCGCCAATATCATTGGAAAGCTTGAGTAGTGATTTTTGTGACAAAGACATATGGTTATTATTTCACTTTTTATTTGAAGTTACAAGGGGAAAATCGAACAGATGATAAATATCAATACAAAAGCCGAATTGTTTCAAAAGATTTGTTTACATTGTATAATAGCAATTTTGATTTGTGAAAAAAGTAAAATTGTACAATCCTTAAACCTGCAATTTGACATTTTTCCAATTACTTCCAGCTCACGAAAATAAAAAGTGAATTTGTTCATGTCCAGTTCTTTAAGATGTTCTGATTAGTGCCCACAAAATAATGCCCAGTCGAGTAATTTTGATTAATATTTTAGGAAGTTTTGCTCCATTTCCTTTCGCTTGCCTCCTGTAAAGGTAAGCACTGTGTACCCCTCGTGTTCTCAGACGAGTGGTAGCGAAAAGTAATTATCATTATAAAAGCATATTTCCCTTTGAAACTGGCCCTTGAGTTTGCAGCTAGGCAGAAATCTTTTGTCTACGTATCTCGAAGGAAGATCCAGTTAAGCACATGCCTGACATATTTTCTCCTGGCTGCATTGAAGATGGTACAAAGGGAAGGAGCTAGATATGACTCCATCTCTTAAAACTCCTTGCTTTGATTTGTTTTTTCTCAGCTTATTCCTTTTTGATAGACGGGTCACATACAACGGATCTCAAGATCAAATACACAAGGAATATTACAAATAAATGCTCTTTTTATTTCCCTCTTCCTCTCCGACTCAGGCATCTTTCCCTCTCTATTTTTTATCTCTTTCTCCTTCCCCCTTTCTTCCGCCCCTCTCTATCATGAATATCACTCTATTCCATCCTTTCACTCTTCTCTTTGTAACCTCTCTCTCTCTCTCTCTCTTTCTCTCTTACCCTCTCCATCCCTCGCTCTTCGTTCACAACCACCTCTAAACACTTGACAAAAATATCAAACTGTAAGCTGCGATGTATTTTAGGTATTTTGGGTTTACTGACCACACAACTGAATAGAGTATCACACTCTTGGTAGTACAATTAAAGACTCAGAATATGAATTAAACGCAGACAAAATATACAATCACTCACTAGCTTCCCAATGGTTCATAAAGCGAATAAAGATTTATCAGCACGATCAAAACTGCAATACTATAGATTCTTAATCCATGAAAAAGATAAACGATAATAATATATTATGTTTTATAAATAATCTATCATATATACAATATGAACATCACTTCAATAAAGAGCTTATGGTGCACATAGTATATTTACATAAGAAGGCAATTATTACTACTCTATTCTTGTTCATACAGTTTTGATTTTCATGACAATCGCCATTTAATATTTACATATTTTAAAACAAATCACCCATCATCAAGAGCTATAACTAACATTCAAGTAAATTAGTGAAATATTCGTCCTTGATTTCACGAAGTGACGGTAGTGAGGAAAATCGTCACGCAAAGTGAATGCAATTTTTTTTCACTACCGTCACTTCGTGAAAACAGCGACGAATTATGTTGATAAATATTTCGGTTTAGGTCCGTTTCATTTTCCACCCAAACTGATATTATATGTAGTTAGATCGCAGCCACATACATCTTTCACAAGTCATTTGTTTGAAGTACAAGTTTTATCCAAACAAACATCAATTTAAAAAACAGTTGAAAAATACTATAAGAAACACGATGATCATTGATGCTAGTAAATAGACATTGTAATATGAAGTAATTGAAGTTGCCTTAAATGAATGCATTACAAACCCATATTATGTTACTCAGTATTGAAAATAATGTTTTTGGAATCTGTATCGAGGACATAGTAGAAAACATCGTCCCTCTACGTCCAGTATTATTCCCAAACAAATCTGTTACATCCATTATATTTCACATCATTTGAATGTTCTTGAACGATTCTTCTCCTACAGTCGTCGTTTGCTTGTCGGGAATTGGTTGGCAAGTATTTGGAAAAGTTTCAAGGGCATCACATCCTGACCAAGTGAAATTTGATTTTGGCAGTCATTTTCTTTTCATTGGAGGGGGGGGGGGAAGTCAATTTGTGCGGTCAGTTTTCGATCTACTGTCTGTCTCGTCAGTATGAGTGAAGTGTTAGAAGTAGCTAACAAGTCCATGACATCCTAGCCTTCCTCCTACCATGGTTTAACATTCCTTAGATTGGTCAATTTATAGTTAACAAATAAAATCTCCTGCTGAAAAGGATGAACGATGATGGCGATTGTATGTTTATACACTGTACATTGCATCTGTAACAAAAAGAAGGATATACTTTTGGCCAAAAGATTTCGAGAGTCGAAGGTTAATATGAAATTGTTTGAATTATTGACACAATATATAAAAGAGGGCTAGTTTTTCCATCTTCTTTTTATCAGTATGAAAGGTTTGGACCGTCTGATGATATTTTTCCGCACTTCAATGCTTCCTTATGTATGACCTTTGATTTTTGTATGACCCATGCAAACAGAATACAACGTCCCAACATGCCCACGTTGATGAGAAACTGTTCTTCTAGAACTTAGTAAGTTCGTTTGCTGTAGCAAGCATTCGATCTTGTCTGCTTGGTGATGATCTCCTCCCTACGGTTGAACGACCTCGGAAGGTACTCGCCGTCAAAAAAGAACTCTTCAAAGAACTGAATGTTTCTGCGGGTTTCCAGTCGAAATTCTGCTTTGCGCAGCAGCAGAACAAATCCTGGAAAAGTTGCTCTCGGAAACGAGTACTCAGGATGTATAGCATGATAGGATTTAGACAGCTGAGGACGTATATTGGAAGGTCTTTCCATGCGGCAAATTGCGTCATGGCTCTTCCATTAAAAACTGTCTGAGTGTACTGAAACTCTACCCACATGCTGTATACGTAGAACGGAAACCATGCGATGAAGAACATCACTGAAAGTATGCTGATGACAATTGCGAGCTTGACTCTAGAGCGTACACGAGGCGTTGAGCGGTTACTAGCACACACCTGTGCGGTTGCACCTGTCACGGTGCCTCTGACGCTTTTGAGGAGGGCAAGAGCTGTGAGGGTATGGGCAATGATGATGACGGTCAGCGGGATAATGTATGCTATCAATAATCGAAACAACTCGTAGCCCTGGGCGAAAGTATCTCCGAGGTTCAATGGCATACAGACACTGTAGTCGAGAAATTCATAGACCAAGACTTCAGCTGTAAACCAAATCGGAGCCCCCACGGCGAATGCTCCGAGCCATATCAAGAAGACAATCTGCCATGTTGGTCCGCAGAAACAGCTTCGGGACAGCCTGACGCATCGACTACTGTCACGGTTACGCCAAGGCCAGGCAATGGCCAGATAGCGCTCAATCGCTAGAGCCATCAGAGAATACACGGTGATACATCCACTGGTCACCATACTACTGTGGACAAACTTGCACATGAATTGCCCGAAAACCCAATGCCGCTCGTGCCGGACATGAAAGTCAATGATGAAAGGTAGATTGACCAACAAGCACAGGAGATCACCAACCGTCAGGTTTACTACGATGATATTAGGCGTCGATCGTAAACGTTTGTTCTTGAGCACGATCCAAATGATGGACAGATTGGCTAAAATACCAAAGATTAAAACGATGATCATGATTGAAACCTGGGGCCAGAAGACTTCTTCTGATCCCCATGATTGTTCTGTTGTCAGATTGGTTCGATTGTCAACGATCTCCTTGATGATCACACTTATCGACGTCTCACTGATTATCTCTGTTACGTATATAGGTGCTTGGGTTGTCTCCATCATGGACGCTGTACAGATGAGTCCTTAAGATTATGGCCAGAATACGATATCATTGATGCGTGTCATGAAGAACGTCCATCGTTGTTCTTACCACAAATGCAACATTTGCTCGATGGTCGCGTCTTTCCGATGGTCACGTCTTTCAGTGTGGAAATGGAAAAGAACTGATGATCGTTGAAGCTGTAAATTGATGCTGCTGAAAATGTTTTCCCACTCGCGATATGTCGTTGACGTAGCCGTTCTATTGGATTTCTATAATTATACTGGCACTCTCGAGCTATTTTCCGTGAGGCCCACTTCCAAATTACAGAAGAAAGAGTAGGTCATCGTCCTATAGCTTTTGAGAGGAATGTCTAGCAGTCTAGTATGTCTCCAACATTTGATGATCAACACTCCAAGTTCAGTTCAACACAGGACCCTGTATATGAGAATGAAAAGAAAAAAAATGGCAACACGTTTAATAGTAAATTCGAGTCATTTCATTATTGAGCATAACATTCGGAGATAAAACAGTTATCATTAATATTCAAAGGCTTACGAGGACTCCGAATACCAACTTTACATATTTGTGAATAATTATTTAATGATTCATATTAGTTTGAAATCCATTGTAGTAGTTTTGAACAATCAGTGAACAAAATTATTTTGATCGTGAGAGGAATTCATTCTCTCTTTTCACAATCAAAGATACCCCCCCCCCCCTAAAAAAGGGGGAAAAAAGAGAAGAAAAAGAGCAATACCAAATAACCAAAATTAGACGATAACAATTTAAAACAAGGCATGCTTTAATCATGAATGGTACGGCCTATAATGATTCCTCTGGAGTCAAATTATGAAATATTTTGCAATTCCATCGGAATATTCAGATTGTTTTGTGACAGTCTATATATTATAGGTTACACCTGCATGTGTGCAGACCTGTTCGAATGCATTACATATCATTGACTGTAGGTTTTGAGAATATGCCCGCTTATCATAAGCCATATCACTACCAAGATGCGACGGATAAGGACAGTGATAGCCTGAAGCTTTATCAGGAAACTTGTTTTTCAATCTGTTATCTGTCGTGGTCACTCCGCAGAATAGAATAAATAGAATGAATAGAATGAAGAATGAATAGAATTATACTAGCAAAAATCGTAAATTTGCATTTTCATTGACCCGACATGATTTATGGTATAATATAGTAGGGTAAACCTATTAATTTCAATAGTTTATTATAGTTGCTGTTCACAGATGCTCCTAGCATTCCTCTTTTGATTGCTATGATTTTGTTATTAACATATTTCATTATACCCTCCGGATTGATGAACGATGTCTAAAAACGTGAGGCATGTCTTGGTCAAGTGTGCACCTGTCTTAACATGGAAAGGAAATCCTGTTTCGATTTCTCGTCAAAACCACAGCATCAAGACGCCGGGATAACATCAATATCATCGATATCTATTAGTAGAGGCTTATGATTGCGAGGATTGTCACGGTACATCTAACATATTTAGCCCCCCTTCCCTCCCACAAGAAAACTGTCAAGTATTGCTTAACTACGCTGAAAAAAAGATCCAGGTGAAAATCTGTACGGTAACAAGAAATACGCCTTTCACCTTTTGGATAGATGTTTTTAAATAGCCATTATCGACAGCTTAAAAATGAATGAGATATCTCCATCATGAAAAAAGCTTTTAAAGCCAAAATCCCACGAGTTGGTAAAAATTCGAATGGATTAACCCCCCCCCCCCCTACTCAGTGTCATTTAGGGTACGCGTATGCATGTTCCCTCCCTTTGAAAAAAACCTGTAAAGTCGGATATTTGTGTATTGGGGTCGGACTTTGTTGCGTCAAAAGTACACCTTTAACGGAGATTTTGAGAACACGAATGCGGTACCTCCGACCCCGGAGTGGGGGGGGGGGGGGATTAAATCGTATTTACACTCTCCCTTTAATTATCAGAATGTATGTCATAAACTATACAGAGGATCTTTCTTTCTTCGTAAACCCGCATTTTTTTCTCGTTTCCTTGAAAATTTGCCAATACTTATTGAACTCGAAATATGATTCTTCTTTTCTTCTCTCTCTTTCAGCATCCGTCTCTCGTTTTCTCTCTTCTCTCCTCTTCCTTTCTCTTGTATTCTCTTTCGCACCATTCATATTTCATGGCATACTATCCAATAACTGTAAAAGGATACTGGCAAGATAAGATGCAGTCAACTTGAAAAGCGTAATACTGAAGAGAATATGAAAACCTATGAATTTTGTATAAATGGCAAGGTCAGATATTAACTATTCCGAACAGTCTATTAGACGAACTAAATCAGAAACGAATCTTCGAGCGATTTATACGAGATGTGACTGTAAAAAAAAGAAGAAGGACACGTTTGTAAAATTTAGCGTTCAACTTCGTGTCGGTTTTGACAACAGGTCATTTTTCCAGGGTGGATAGTAGCAATGTCCTTTGGCAAGACATTGATCTACATTTGCCACACACAACCCAGGTGAGGTAAATGGGTACCTGGTAGGATTATTCCTTGAAATGCACTGTGCGCTGATAAGGCTGCCGGAGCTAAAGCTAGGGTAATAAAGTCCAAGGCTCTTTGAAAACGCATAGAGATGTTATTTCATAACGTATTGTGCGCTATACAAGAACTGAACTATAACTATTAATGATCAGATTAAATTCATTATGTGGAGTGTTGGTGTCACGACGCTCATAACTGACCTTCGAAAAATAGACCTATTAATCATCATCGTAATCAAAACACGCTTTCAGAAATGTGAGGGTCGTTAATGACTCCTCCAAATGATCAATCAAAATATCGGTAGGTTTTTAACATTAAGATCACATTTTAACCAAATTGAACAGATTATTGCTCATGTTTAACCTTAGAAATGACTGATTTAAACGATTACGATTGTGGACCACAGTATAAGGTGACAGGCTCTGTATCCCAAAACAACATAACTGTGGAACCGAAAAAATAGACTAAAATAATTTCCTCACGACGTCTATTTCTCATTTTCATTCAATATTTGTTAATTTATTTCCTTTTATTTAATTTTAACTTTATACCATTCAGAGTTTGCTTACAAGGGAGCCCTGCTATGCATAACAACATAGAAAATACATAAAGATAACGCTTTGTTACAGAATCGCATAAATTTGTATGGTTTTGGCGCTCCAAAAATCAGCTCACTCAATATTAGGCCAGGTTTATACCAGTTTGCATATTATAAACATGATTCCGTACTATCGTGAACAAAGGAGATATCATAGGATTTCCAGATCTATTTCCAGATTTCAAATAGGTTGAAACGGTAATCTTCTGAGAATAGGAATAATAAATGACCTGCCGTTATAAGCCTTGATCGTGACACCTCATTCATCATTGGATTCGTTAGAAATGCTATTACTGCATTATTATACATGTATGATGAAGCCGCCAGTATTCATGTCGAGGGTTATTGTTTTACACTTGATAGATAAATGTAACTTTACGTAGGTTGGAACTTTATCTTGTTTTATAATTATGAAGAATGGTACGTCACCTCTGAATTATGTTTAAAACATTTTTTATGCATTTTCACGAGTCGGATACTAATTTTCTGTTTACCCTTTCCATATTTTTCTTTGTTCCCGTGCTGAATAGCGCCCATTTTCAGTAAAATAAAAACAACAAAACTAAATATGATATCATGCCTAATGTTTATTTTGTTCTGTCTCAATAATAAAATAGCTAGTCCTTTTGTTTTATTTCAATATTTACCAAAATATTTGTTCCTTATTCATACTTGGGGAAAGCCCAACGCACACTACACCTTCCTCCTGTGTTCCGATTGTCGTAGAAAGGGCGGTTATATTCGATATGGAAATCTAAAAAAACTTTATCCTCTTGATTCAGGCTTTAAATAATGATAACATTGACAGCCAGACTATTGTGCGTATAACTCTTCAAGAAAGAATAAAAGCCGTATCGGTTTCAAGTCGTAGACGATCGCACTACTGGTCCAGCATCATTACGATTCTGAGCTGAGTTAGCTTTCCCCCTCCAAAGAAGCCTGAAATCCCTTGAAATTTATATTGTATTAATCATATGGCTATTCAGTTCTTAAATCATTAAGATTTTACATTTTTAATGTTCATACAAAATGCTATCACAAATTCTTGCAAAATTAGATCGTTGTCAGATCGCGTAGATCACTTCGGAGATACCGGCCTTGTTGCCGCGCTGTGGCTTCACCTAAATAAGGATTAAAAATAAGTTTCTTCTCTTTCATGTTTTGTCTAGTTGAGGTCTAAAAGGACTAAACGTCGATTTCAGCTTACATCAGGGGATAGTCACATCTTGGATTGCCAAATAAGTCATGTGACTACAATTGACTATATTCCTTCTACCGGTATATCCTTTAGTAGATAATCAAGATCTTACAAATTTATATTTTATTAGGTTCTATTCCCAGATGATACTTACAGGCCTTCAGGAAATGCATTTTTGCTTCAAAAACAAGAGCATTAGGGAGCTTTTATCAAAGCTACATATGGTACAATCAACATGTCTTCGTTTCATGATCGAAAATATGGTAGCTTCTAACGGGGCAGAATACTGTTGAGACAGAGGATGTACAGCTGAATTTAACCACTTGTTTGGTTCAAGTTTCCGGCAGCTTTCTTTAAGTGTATTATGTGGTTATTAAACAATCCTGATGTAGGCATACCATGTTAGTGGTCTGAAAGGAAAGGAACTCAGCTTTGGTTGTGGTCTAATTGAGAATCTCCCATTACACTTATTGTTAAGTTCTTTTTAAACCTGCAAAAAAACTTCATCGGGATTCTTCCATTTTACTCACAGAATTTTAATTTCTTAAAAAGTTGTCTATTACTGTTGTAGTTTTTATAAATAATTTTGAAAGTATATTAGCTACGATAAGCATTAAACCATTTCTTTTGTTCGTAGCAATTGTTCAGTAATCTGATCTTATTCCTAATCTTGGCTCTCATCACATACTCAGAAAAATATCATCACATCCCTATTATTTTTTTTTTTAACTTTTAAAATTTTAAAAACTTTTAAAACTCGTATGGGTCTATCCCAAGTTAAAACAACAATACATGTACAAGGGTTGTGATATGTCCCAGGATGGGGAAATTTGTATATTCTTATTACTCTATTTAAAATTTACTTACATAATTTTTTGCTAGGTGTTTATGTAGAAGTTTAAAATCGAAATGGTTTGGGAAACTCGAGGAGGCCAAGGAAATGGCACGCGAACGCTGCTACTAGAGTTTCGGGGTTTTATAGGGAGAATTCTGAAAAGGGTGAAAGACACCATAGGATGTTGAACCCCAGCCACACCAAAAGAGGCCGACACCAGACCGACCGACCGGCCATCGGTCAGTCGGTTTGGAGTCGCTGTGCAGTCGGGTTG